TCTAATGACTATAGTGAAAAAATATTGATATAAGAAAGATAAGGCTGTTTAGAATTTGGAATAAATTTCCAGTGATACCTTTTAACAAGTTGAACATTATTATGAGTAGATATTGTGAAGACAAATTTTTCATTATCCTGTTCTTATAAAGGTATAGTAAAAGAGCAGACTTTTAGATCAACCACTATAATAGACCATCACTTAGGTTATAAAGAAAGCAAGGGAATTACAGGCTGTAAATAGCCTATGGCTGAATCACCTCATTTATGGCTCTTAAATCTGTTAACATTCTCGCTTTTCCAGATTTCTTTTTAATGACAAAAATAGGAGAATTCCAAGGACAGGTCAATTCTTCAATATGTTGAGCATTAAGCTAGTCCTGTATCAGCTGTTCTAGTGACTGTAATTTTTCTGATGTCAAAGCCATCTTCTACCCACACAGTTGTGTTAGTTAACCATTTTAAAAGTAGGGTAGTTGGTACCTTTGAAAGACCAACAGCTGTTGTCTTGTACAGCTGTTGTACAGCCTAAATAGTCTGTGAAGGTTATTAATAATACATTTTAGTAGTTTTTTATAGAGCATTCTGTATTTTATGGTTTGTTTCTGAGATTAGAGAAATTTTAATCTGTGTTTTCCTTTGCTGAAACAAATTGTGTCCCCATAAATTCATGGCTATGTTAGGAAGGAAGAAAGAAAGAAAGAAAGATGGGCTATCTATATTTTCTATCTGTTTTTCTGCCCAATACACTTGACCCATCTTGTACTTTCTTTTACCTGATGAAGTTCTAATCATTAAAAGGTGAATATTTACCTCCTGAAGAGGTTAATTCTGGATGCCAAGATTTTGGTGAATTTACTATTACATATGCCCCTGTGTGTAATAAATCTGCAATTTCAATGCCATTTATTTGTATATTTAGCTTTGGTGTTTGATCATTTATAGCTGATTGACAAAATACTTGTTTTCTGGTCTCTTCTGAATTTTTTTTTGTTTTATCTACTGAAGCTGTTCTATCATCCATAGAAGTATGGTTTTTAAAAGCAGGTATTAAGTCTTTTAATTGCTCTGTGAATGGGTTTCTCTAATGTTGACAGGGAATAATTTAATCAAATTTGATATCAGGGCCTTTAGGAGGCCCCTAGGGTTTTTCCTGATGGCAAAGGGTTACTTTGCCTGTTCATTGTTGATCTGAATTTATTAGGCCAATGACAGCCTTTGCCACACCTTCTGCATACTGCAGAAGGCTGAAGCATTCTGCTGAGAATATCTCTAGAAAAACCATTGTTTATAGGAATGCCTTGATAAAAATCCCTTTTCAAATGACCTTGCTTCCCTCAATTAAAATATCTGACATTTTGATTTTTTTTATAAGTTTTAGAAATCAGTTATCCTTTCAGAGTAGCATCACAAATGAAACACGCAATATCAATCATATTTCTGATCCTTTCATCTATTGGTGTTGATGTTGACTTTAATTGCCTATTAATTTGCATTCTCAATTAGCATTTTAAAAAGCCAAAGATTCAATTAATATTTGTCTGACTTCTGGATCTGATATTATTCTATTAATAGCTGAAGTAAATCTTTGTATAAAAATCAGTGAAGCCTTCTTTTGGGCCTTATATAATTTTATTAAGTGACTCAGACCTCTTTCCTGTTATCAGCCTCATCCCAAGCATTTAACAATGCTAAATGACATAACATCATGGTATGATCATCAACTTCAAGCTCCCTTTATAATTCAGCATATTGACCTTCACCTAGGAACTGCTCTTGGGAAATATAAATACCTCTAGCCCAATTTTGTTTTTCTATGGCTCTAGCTTCATCTTTCTTTCTTTCCTACTTCCTTTTTTTTTTTTTTTTTTGGTTTTTTCGAGACAGGGTTTCTCTGTGTAGTTTTGGTGCCTATCCTGGATCTTGCTCTGTAGACCAGGCTGGTCTCGAACTCACAGAGATCCACCTGGCTCTGCCTCCTGAATGCTGTGTTTAAAGGTGTGCACCACTGCCACCTGGCCTAGCTTAGTCTTTCAACCATCTCTGCCATTGTAATGAGGACCAGTTTCCAATATTACTGTTGACAAATCTTTCCAGTCTTGGGGGTAATTCTGTTGTGAGTCATAAATGAATTAAATACCTGCTTCACATAGAGTGAATGCATACCATATGAAAGAACCAATTCCTTAAACTCTTCAAATGTAATATTTCTATAGGATTCCATTTCACTTCTGCATAACTCTGGGTGTGCTTATCCTTGCTGGTAGTTCTTGTATAGTAAATGGGTATATGGTGATTGGTTTTCTAACAACCTTGGACCTTCAGTTCTATCATGAGGTGGTATGGTAGGTTCTTGTCTAAATTTCTGTTTCTGATTTTCTTCTTATTTTCATTTATAAGTCTTTCTAAGGAGTGTGTCTGACCAATCCACTTTTCATATCCATACAAAAAAATCCACTATGGCTATTAAGGAGAAAATATGAATTAACAGACTGATAGTAATTGTAAGCAATATTACAATTACTCAGTAAAGTCATTTATCTTTTCATTTTCTGCTTCTATTTTCAAGCCATCTAAATTAGCATTATATAGGGTCCTAATGTTCTGTATTATAATATTTCCCATCCTTAATGAGGGAAAGAGTTTTTTAAAAAATATTACTTAAATCTCTCTTTGAGGACTTCCCAAGTGTCTTCACAGATTTGATGATTTCATGATTTCTCTGTCTGTGTGGTCATGCCACCTGTTAGAGTGCCATATGTTTTTTTTTTTTTTTTAACTAAGTCTCTATGGTTCTATTTTAACAATAAAAAATTGGGAGTCAGATGCTAGAGTGAAAACTTGTTAGCTCAGAGAGGCAGAGAAAGCATGCAGGTGCTTCCTCCTCTGCCATTTTCCCAGACCAAGTACTTTCTCCTAAACCATCTCAAACCAAAAAGACCACCAAACTAATGTCCCTCCCTACTACTTCCTGTGCATCTCTCTAATCATCTTCCTGACTCACTCTTATTCTCTCTAATTACTTCCTATCAACAGGTTGCTTGCTCTGCCTCTTGACCTATGGAATTTTGTTTTTATTTAATCTAGTTACAATATTAAAAAAGCTCTTAGATTAAAGGTATGTGCTAAGGCTGAGCCACACTACAACTTGACACAGGTTATTCCAGTAAATAACACAGTCTCAGGTTTCACAGTGTGATCAAATATCCTGCAATACTTGTGATGTTGGGGTGGGGTCAGTATTTATGGACTAACTTCCTCTGGGCCTTCTTGTATGTATATAATAAAACTGCTTCAAAGTCAGGTTGTGTTGATGGCTCATTCATTTAATCCCAGAACTTGGAAGGCAGAGGAAGGACTATCTCTGAGGTTATGGCCAGTCTGGTCTATACAGTGAGTTCCAAGATAGCCAGGGCTACACAGAGAAATCCTGTTGGGGGGAGGAACAACCACCCAACTGCTTCCTGATACATAGCTTGGATGTCTCTTAAGAGGGTTTCCTCCAGGACTGTCATTTGATCCTCTGGTTTTTGTGTCATAAACCAACAGACACATGACTTCTAATTGTTACAGGGGATTTAGCCTGGCTCAGGTACTTGGAGACAGAAAATCATTTCTGAAAGTTCTTGGAAATCAACACAAGGCACTCCAAGACCAACTTCTCAGAACAAAGGAGATTCATTTGCTACTAAGGAACAAAGGGCATGTGTGGTGATATTTTATTTGTGCTGAAATGTGGTGATATTTTATTTGTATGTTAATAAATAAAGCATGCTTGGAGATCAAGGGGAAAAAGACCAGCCATTTTTATGTAAACACAGAAGTCAGGCAGTGGTAGCACACACCCTTAATCTGATCACATGGCAGGCAGGGTCTCTGTGTGTTTAAGGACACACTAGGGAACAGCCAAGCATGGTAACATGAGCCTTTAATCCCAGTATCAACCATAGAGACCTGGAGGTCTGTACAGACAGGCAGGGACAAGGAAGTGAGGTAGTTGGGCTAAGAGCCAATGAGAGGGCACAACAGCAAGGCAATAAAAACATGGGTAGACAGGAAGTAACTCTCTTGGGAAGCTATGGTGGTGTGGTGAGTTAAGGTTAGCTGGTGGCTCTCACTATTTCCCTGATCTCTAAGGCTTTCATTCCTATATTATTTCTGTGTTTTTTATTTAATAAGACTGTTTAGAAATTCATCTACAGGCATGGAATAAGAGACAAAGACAAGAGAAAGGGGAACATGGATAAGAGGAAAGCAACAAGTGGAAGGGAGGAGGGATATTTGCCTCAGAATGACACAAGACTGCCTCAGGATAGAAAGGAGACAGACATGGCCCATAGTCAAATGGGAATTCATAAACAAAAAGTGGGAAACCAAGTTTTAGGATGAGTTGTTTTGTTTTGTTTGGGCATGATAATTAGGGAGGTCAAAAGGGGGCTTTTGGTTGTTGGACTTCAATACTTTTAGAGTTGGACCTTGTTGGACAGCCTCAGGGGGAGAAAGTAGCCATATAACATAACAGATCTTGGTGGCTAGCTTTAAGAGTTTAATCTAACAGTTTAGCAAGGCAGAGGGAATGAAGGAAGAGTAAGTCCTGCCTGAGTCATGTTTGCCATAATAGGGTCTACTAGAGCTCTTCAATAATCATATGCCTTCCAAGCCTGATTCCAGGTTTGCTTATGTGTGACCAGGAATTACCTAGCCTGAGATTCAAGGTCATGGTCAAACTACCACTTACAAAAGGAAACTGATTTGACACCACTTTCTTTGCCTGCCTGTGCCTAGGGAAATATCGCTGTTCTGCTGGTTTCCAGGACTACTTGGAGATAGAACTACAGGTTAGGGACACATCTGTCATTTAGAAGAGTCTTCATGGCCTCTTCCTATGGATGTAGCCAGAAACTCAGCTCTGATCCTTATTCTTTCTTTGCACCACTTTAAACCAACATTTCAATGGGCCAGAAACAAATGCATATCTAGGAAAGGAGGAAGGAGGCAAACTGAAGGCACACATCTTGAGATGTGAATTATGATGCACTTAGCATTTTTAATTCATTAATTCATTTTCAATGAATTGTCTTTAAGGGAGGAGTCATCATTCTCCTTGCAACTTTTATATAAAAAGACATGCCATTGAGCTCATAAATGATTTGCCCACCACCAAATTAGGGATCAACAGTCCAGTAATTTGATTCACGTTTTTAGTCCAATTCCTTGAATATTTCTTGAATTACCTTCATTCTCTGACATTGTTCTCCTCTCATGTGAGCAAGGTCCAGCAGCGTCAGGGCATACACCATTTCTACCTGTACTCTTCTTTTTCCTTCTCCAGCATCACAGCCTAGGGACCGCACAGATGCGGTAGCTGACAGGGGAAAGGGTGAGGCTCATTCTGAACTTCAGGCTCAGCTTCTCATTGACTGGAGGCTTGAAGGTAAACTTTTGCATGAGAGCAGTGAAGAAAATGAATAGCTCATACCTAGCCAATTGTTCTCCCAGGCAAGCTCTCTTTCCTGCAGGACAAAAGCAGAAGGTGAGTCACTTCCTCAGCTGACTTTGGAGCATCAAGGTACAGGTGTCCCCAACTTCCTACTGTAAATGCCAAGCTGATCCTGAACTATGTGTCCATTGGATTATGTCTAATATCCTCCTGATTTGGCCATTAGAACCCAATACCAGCTGTTATTTCCTTATCTTTGGCATAGCTATATATCTCAGATTTGTGTTTTCATTTTGCCAACCCAAGAAATTGCCATCATCCCAGGTATCCTGGTTCTATTTATTGAATAATGATATGTAGAAAATATGACCTTGGCAAGAGACATTCTCACAACTCTGGAAGCCATTGCTCTGGATCATCTCACACCATAAACACATGCACAAGGTGTATTTATCTAAGTGTGTGTATAGACACATGTATTTGTGTCTACATCCATTTCTGTACCTGTCAACTCCTCAGTCACTCTGTTGGATATCTGTGTTGACATGGGTGATTGTTGATGATCTAGAACATCCCTAGCATGCCAGTGTTCATCATATGAACATCGTCACCATGCATTTGAACAGTACTTCAGATTTCTAGTCCCTAAACCATGTTTCTGTGGATGTGTTCATTCATATGTCTGCTCATCATGTGTACACATGTTTGCATATGTGTATGGATGCCAGAGGACAACCATGGGTGTTCATCCTCAAATGCTATAACCCTCATCTATTTAAATAGGTTCTTAATTGTCTTGCAACTTGGCAAGTAGGTCTGGCTACTGAGTCTCAAGAGACACTGCATTCAACTGCTAGGATTATAAGCACATGACACCATGCTCCAAAATTTTATGTGACTTCTGGTGATCACATTATTTTATATACTTCCAAGGCAAGTGCTTTACAAAGTGAGATGTCTTCTCTGCCATGTCTCCAGTGCTTTTTTGAAAATAATACATTTTTTTTTTTGGTTTTTCGAGACAGGGTTTCTCTGTGTAGCTTTGTGCCTCTCCTGGAACTCACTTGGTAGCCCAGGCTGGCCTCAAACTCACAGAGATCCGCCTGGCTCTGCCTCCCAAGTGCTGGGATTAAAGGCGTGCGCCACCACCGCCCGGCTGAAAATAATACATTTTTGACTGAACAAAGTTTTAAAAACATCAGGAAAAAGAAATGTATAAAGACTATAACAAAATGGCTAGAATAGCATTCAGGCAAAACTAAGATTAAAATTTGGACATATTTTCCAATGTCTTCTTGGTGTTTCTAACAAGGACATGGTAGCAGGAATGATAGTATGCCTCATTCTCTGCAGGCTAATGTTTAAAAAGCTGTATTGGACTTCAAAGACATTAAACACTGTAGAATTATCTGATGTATGCGTATTTCCACTTTGTTACCTGCCTAACACAGTTTGTTGAGGAAATAAAATGAAAGCAGACCTGAAAAGGTATATAGTAAACATAAATGTGTTATGATGATGATGTCATTATGCTATAATAATAACACAGTAACATCTGTGTTATTTCCTTTATTTCTGTTCTCCTCATGCACCTCCTGTTGTCTGTCATGAATAACATGGCTAACAACTCATTAAATTCCGGACCAGAGCCCCCAGCTCCCATCGGCCCAGCCTGGAGCTCCCATACGGACCAGAGATATCCCCTGCCTCCACACCCATCTGCCTGAGACCCCCCTCCCCTTCCTGAGAATTGGAGACCAGCCCCCAGCTCCCATCTGGCCCAGAGCTCCCATCTGCACCAGAGGTGAGTGTCTGGGGTCATACCCAGGGAGGCCTGCCCTTAGGTCCCATCCCTGGGCACCAGCCATTCCCAGGGAAGACCTGCCCAACTTGGCCCTAGTTTCTGGCCATCGGGTGGGGGCCCCGCGGGAAGGTTCTCCTTCTCCACGACCCCGATGTAGTGGGTAGCCATTCCAGCTGTGACCTGGAAGTTCCAACCCCCATTGAGGCTTCGGTAGTGGTAATGGTCACGCCTACAAGGCGGGGCTGAGAGAGGATGATGAATAAGGCAGGACTGAGAGAGGATGCTGAAGACCCAAGATCCGGATGGGCAGGCTCTCTTAGCCCCGCCTTGTAGGCATGACAATTACTGAAGCCTCAATGGAGGTTTGAACTTCCAGGTCAAAGCTGGAATGGCTACCCACTACACACCCCCCCAGCAGACCCTGAAATCTACATGCCCTGTCCCCACACCCATCTGCCCGGAGAACCCCGCCACTTCCTGAGACTTGATGACCAGCCCCCAACTCCCATCTGGCCCAGAGCTCCCATCTGGCCCAGAGAGCTCTCATCAGGCCCAGAGAGCTCCCATCTAGCCCAGAGAGCTCCCACCTGGCCCAGAGAAAGAGAGAGCTCTCATTGGACAAAGAGCCATCATTGGACCAAGAGTAAACTCAGGAGAAAGGGAACCTGCCAGCCCTGATTAGACCAAGAGAGGCTTCCTGAAATGCCGAATCTGTCAGCTTGGTCTAGACCAAGAGTGCTGATAAGACCAAGAACGTATCCACGAGGAGATGGGCAGACGTCAAGGCAGAAGTACATACAACAACATAAAGAACAATTCAGCATCACCAGAGCCTAGCCCTCCTCCAACAATAAGACCTGAACATCACAAAATGGAAGAAGCAGAAGAAAGCAACCGTAAGCACAACATCATGAAGATGCTAGAAGCTTTTAAAGAAGAAATAAAAAATGAAATGGAGGAAAAGAAAAACAAAAAAGTGGAGGAAATCAATAAAGAAGATGAAAAGTCAAACAAAAAAAATGGGAAGAACGCTATAAAAAACTAGAGGAAAAGACAAATAAAGCAGAAGAAAACAATAAATCCCTGAAAGAAAATCATGAAAAAGCAATGAATCAGATGAGGGAAACAGTCCAAGACCTGAAAAGGGATTAGAAAAAATGAAGAAGACACAAACAAAGGGAATGCTGGAAATAGAAAATCTGAGTAAATGAACAGGAAACACAGATGCAAGCATAACCAACAGAATACAAGAAGAGATAGAAGAGAGGATCTCTGGTGTAGAGGATACAGAAGAGGAAATGGATTCATCAGTCAAAGAAAATACCAATGCCAAAAATATTGTAACACAAAATGTCCAAGAAATCTGGAACACCATGAAAAGACCAAAAGGATAGAGGAAGGAGAAGAATACCAACTCAAAGGCACAGAAATTATTTTCAACAAGATCTTAGAAGAAAACTTTCCCAACTTAAAGAAGGAAATGCCTATGAAGATACAAGAAGTCTATAGAACACAAAACAGACTAGACCCCCCCAAAAGTCCCCTCACCACATAATAATTAAACAACTAAACGTACAGAATAAAGAAAGAATATTAAGAGCAGCAAAGAAAAAAGGCCAAGAGACTTATAAAGGCAAACCCATCAGAATAACACCCGATTTCTCAAGGGAGACTTTGAAAGCCAGAAGGACCTGGACAGATGCAATGCAGACATTAAGAGACCATGGATGCCAGCCTACACTAATATACCCAGCAAGACTTTCAATCATCATAGATGGAGTGAACAAGACATTCCAAGACAAAGCCAGATTTAAACAATACTTATCCTCAAACCCAGCCCTACAGAAAGCACTAGATGGAAAATTCAAACCCAAGGCAGTCAGATACACCCCTGAAAACACAGGCAACAGATAACACCACAGCAGTAAACCCCAAAGAAGAGAAGTACACACACACTACCACCAAAAAATAATAGGAATGAACAATCACTGGTCATTAATATCCCTTAATATCAATGGACTTAATTCACCTATAAAAAGACACAGGCTAACAGAATGGATACAAAAGCAGGACCCATCATTCTGCTTCATACAAGAAACACACCTCAAATTCAAAGATAGACACTACCTAAGAATAAAAGGTTGGGAAAAGACTTTCCAATCAAATGGTCTTAAGAAGCAAGCACCCCATGGAACCTTCTCTAAAATCGACCACATACTTGGCCACAAAGCAAATCTCAACAACTTCCTGCATTTTATCAGACCACCATAATTTAAAGCTAGATTTAAACAACAAAAACCACAAAAAGCCTACAATTTCATGGAAACTGAATAATGTTCAACTGAATTACCAATGGGTTAAGGAAGAAATAAAGAAAGAAATTAAAGACTTCCTAGAGATGAATGAAAATGAATATACCACATACCCAAACTTATGGGACACTATGAAAGCAGTGCTAAGAGGGAAATTCATAGCACTAAATGCCCACATGAAGAAGTTGGAGAAATCTCACACTAGTGACTTAATACACACCTGAAATCTCTAGAACAAGAAGAAGCAAAGTCACCCAGGAGGAATAGACAGCAGGAAATAATCAAATTGAGAGCTGAAATCAATAAAATAGAAACAAAGAGAACAATACAAAAAATTAATGAAACAAAGAGTTGGTTCTTTGAGAAAATCCACAAGATAGACAAGCCCTTATCCAAACTAACCAAAAGACAGAGAGAGAGAGCATCCAAATTAACAAAATCAGAAATGAAAAGGGAGACATAACAACTAACACCAAGGAAATCCAGAAAATCATCAGGTCATACTCAAAAAAACTCTACTCCACAAAACTGGAAAATCTAAAGAAATGGATATTTTTCTTGATAGGTACCACATACCTAAGTTAAATCAAGACCAGATTAAACTATTTAAGTAGTCCAATAACCCCTAAGGAAATAGAATCAGTCTTTAAAGATCTCCCAACCAAAAAAAGCCCAGGACCAGATGGTTTCAACACAGAATTCCACCAGATCTTCAAAGAAGAGTTAATACCAATTTTTCCACACAATAGAAACAGAAGGAACATTACCAAACTCCTTCTATGAGGCTCTAATTAACCTGATTCCCAAGCCAAATAAAGATACAACAAAGAAAGAGAACTACAGACCGATCTCCCTCATGAACATTGATGCAAAAATACTCAATAAAATACTGGCAAACAGATTCCAAGAACACATCAAAACAATTATCCACCATGATCAAGTAGGCTTCACCCCAGG